CCACATCACCTTCAGCCGTGCTTTGTCTACCTTGAGCTTCTTAAAAGCACGTGGATTTTCAGAATGGTAGACAAGCAACGGCTTGATCTTCAGGTCCCCGCTGGCGTTGGCACAGAAGAGGAGGGTCAGGCGGTCCTTCATCGGCTTGTGGCCAGGCAGCTTGCTCTCCTCTTTGGTCAGGAAGGTCGTTTTGGGCATCCGCGTCCAAAACAGGCCGGTCTCATTGCAATTGAAGACCTGCTCTGGAAGGTAGCCCTCTGTGGTTACGACCTCGAGGAACTCCACAGCAAAGTCCTCTGCTGCAGTGGTGTCTGAGCTGGCAGCCTCTCCGTGCCTCACCACACTGTGGATGCTGGATCTTGTCTTGAATCGTTCAAACCAGCCTCTGCTGGCCTTGAACTCTTCAGGCTCAGCTGATGTTCCGGGCTGTTGATCCATGAGGTTGGCGTACAAGGCCCTGGCCTTCTCGCAGATCACAGCCTTAGTAACCGTGTCCCTGCACGCTGCTTCTCCTCCATCCAGATGACCAGGAGCTTCTCCACCTCCTCCAGGACAGCTGGCCGGTTCCTGGTGATCCTTGTGACACCCTTCGCTACATCCGTTGCAAGGATCTTCTCCCTGTTTGCAACGATGGTGCCAGTGGTGGATGCATTCTGGCCGTACTCCCTGTTGATGTCCGCAGTGTGTTTTCCTCCATCGTACTTGCAGATGATTTCTTTCTTCATCTCCAGGGTAACCTTCTCCCTGGTTGGCTTGCCAACCTGGGCAGAAGCAGTCTTCTTTAGACCCATGTCCGACATTGCTACATTAAAGGAAAAAAACAACAGTCAGTGCTTTACATCTGCCTCACCTTCCCACACCTGGCCAAAACTGCCCTGGACAAGCAAGTGGCAGTTTTGTCACACACCCCCACCGCAACCTAAGGGGGGAAAAAATTTAAATTTTACCTACCTGTAGATCTAACTGATTGTATGGAAAAGCCACCAAAGGCCACACCACACCACACCACAGAAAGGAATGCCTACAGAAAAAAAATTCAAAATCGGCATCCAAATAACGACACCCCCCACCACAACCAAAGGTGAAAAAAAAACCACAGGAAAAGAAATGTTACCTACCTCTAGATCTAACTGATCGTATGGAAAAGCCACCAAAGGCCACACCACACCACACCACAGAAAGGAATGCCTACAGAAAAAAAATTCAAAATCGGCATCCAACTTTGGCATTCAAACCCCCTCAACAGAAGCTAATGTACCCCCTAAGTTTCCCCTGAAGACTGCAAATTGTAAAAATTTTACAAGAAAAAGCAATTCTAGTGAGGGTCTAGCAACTTTAAACACAACCGCCTCCCACACCCACCAACCCACAGGCAGCATGGCAAAGAGGGGAAAAAATTTAAACACAGGATTTCAGTTGGGCATCCACATTCCTGGTGCAGGCATACAGAAAGCCACAAGAAAAAGCATTTCTAGTGAGGGTCTAGCAACTTTAAACACAGCTGCCCCACACCAAACCCTAATTCCCCCCGTGGCAGAGAAATTTTTTTTAAAACACACAAATCCCACACAAATGCACAGAAACCCCCAGCAAAAAAAAAAACCCTGCAATTTTCAAACTGAAAAAACCCAGCATAACCAAAGCCAGAGCCAGCCAGACCCAAATTCCCCCTTGCAAACAACATCTAACTTTAGCAATAAAAACCCACCACCCATCCAGGATAAGAAATGCAAGCTTACCTTCTCTTGCTCAATAACTTCTCCAGCACAGGATGCACCCCCAAAACAGACCAAAGTGACAAAGCCAACCTTGGAACTGCACATGGGAGAGTAAACCCAGGACGCATGGGCAAGGGGTTTTATACGTTCCCCACACAGGGACAATGCATCCTGGGTACAGTCAGTTAGATTTTGAAGGAAAACAACAAATTAATATTGCCAAACAGCCACCTTTCCCGCTCTTTTTCAAACATCGCTAAGCGAAACGGGGACCATAAACCACATCATTATGCGAATCATGGTCCCGAAATTGCTAAGCGGAATTCCCCCATAGGAAACATCGCTAACCGAGACGGTAAACTTTTCAGAAAAAGCCATCGCTATGCGCATTCGTCATTAAACGAAGCAATCACTAGGTGAGGCACCACTGTACTTGTCTTCCAGAACACATGGGGCTTCTGAGATTTTGGATCATGGCATTTTCTGAATCCATGTTTATATTCTTTGTCTATTACTCTCATTCACTCTGTGTCCTGTATTATCTTTGTTTTCCCTCCTATAGGAGAGTAACAGCAGGCAAACACTCAAAGTAGAAGTAAAAAAGTGTTTGGAAAACAAAATAATAGGTTTGATTAGCTTGGATGCTGTGCACTACTTAGAAATTAGTTCCAAGGGGTGAATTAAGCTAGAATGGCTTAGCCAGATCTGCCAAAGAAATACAATAAAATTGCCACAGGGTTCCTATTTCATACAGCTGAATTCCAGGGAAAAGTTGTAGGAGGCAAGCTCAGATGCATGACTGAAAGACAAAGTAAGAAATTAGAAACCAGGAAGACATTATGAGAAAGAAAGGCAATTCACAGTAATTCATTATTGTGACAGAGATTGTTTGTAAAGAATCTTGTTACATTTTAGGTGTTTTGGTCTTATGTTCACTGTATTTTTGAAGTTGAGACACTTGTAATATTTGTGTGATACCTCTGTTCTTTCAACTCCCGTACTGGGATCAGGTTTTTTAAAACATCATTTCAAAAGGTAAAACATAACAAATCCATTGGTATATTTGCCAAAGACTGTGTGCAAGTTATTTTACAAACACATTGCTTTTCTTCTTTGTAGTATGAACCAAGAGGACCAGGCAGGCCATTGTACCAAAGAAGAATTTCATCTAGTTCAACCCAGGCTTGTTCTGAAGATTTGAGCACTCCTCAAGGTAGCCTTGGACAGTGTAAAGAACTTCAGGACCCCAGTAACCCATCTTCTTTCAATTATTCATCCCCTGAATTGTGGGTGAACTCCACCTCATCAACTCCATATCAGAACATTCCATGCAATGGATCCAGTAGAACAGTTCAACCAAGAGAACTGATAGGTAAGTGTGCTTTCCCATAATTTTGGCCCTGTTGACTTAAGGAATTGACAATTTACTTCGAAATGGTGAGTGACTAAATAGGTTTATTAACATTCTCTTCTTGCAAAGCTTGAAGATGCCTTCCCACAATCTGGATTACTTTCATGTTACAAATACAGTGCCTTGTCATTTCTCATTCAATAAAATTACTGGCCACCTATTGAAACATTTAAACAAATGTTATATTACAAAATAGAATTAAGTCAGTGGTGCGGAATATAAGCTTGTCAGTCCCTTAGCACTGGTCATGCTTGCTGGAGTAGATTGGAGTTGGGAGTCCAGCAGTATCTGGGAGGATACAGGTTCTCCACCCCTGCTTTTAGTACAAAGGTAGGCATCTAAGGTGATGATTCACACAGGCTGAAATAATTCTATTAATGTCTGATTCATTATAAAATAGGATGCAGAGTAACATGTGTGGTTCACTCCTATATAGGAAGTTTAAACTCCTTCAAGTTATAAAACTCTTTATCTCCAAAAGCTCCTATCCTATGTTAAGCAATATCTGGAATGACATTTCTTAATTCATGTGGTGCTAATGTCTGAAGGAAATTTTATATATCAGTATTTTATTATATATTTGCTATTTCAGTTCATGCATGGTTGGAACTCATTCGTTTACTTCATTGTTATCATAACCTCTCAAGCTGTTATCTTAATTGCCTCATAATGTACAATTCAAGATACTCAGGACAGTCTTAGAATTTTGATAGATACGTTGAACCGTAATTTGGATTTGGGGGCTTCTTGCATTGTTAAAAACATTTTGCTGGTTCTGGCACTTTCCTTCACAACTTTGGGAAGAAGGGCCTAACATAACTTTCTGACCTTCTTTGTAGAATGTCTTCCTTGCAGACATAGACTTAAAGGGGGGCCTTTTTCTCTGTTCTCTCTTTGTAGTTCCATCGAAGACTGCCAAATCCACTGAGGAACAGATGAAAGTGGAGAACCTTCAGTTGTCCAATTCTTTCAATTACAACATGCTTCAACACCTTGGCCAGTTCCCTCCCCTCATGCCCAACAAGCAGATGGTTGAATCCAGCAGCAACAGCCAGCCGAGCGCTGGGGCAAACAAGCCTGCCATGTCCTACGCAAGTGCTCTGAGGGCTCCACCCAAGCCCAAAGCCCCACCCGAGCAGGCAAAAAAGAATAGTGACCCCTTGTCTTTGTTTCAGGAACTTAGTCTAGGTAGTTCATCAGGTAGCAATGGCTTTTACTCCTATTTTAAATAATCAGGATATTTTTGTAGAGAAGTTTTAATTTCTTTTTGTGTCTGTAGATTTGAGGTAGTTGGGGCTTTCCCTGCAGTTGCCACCATTTCTTCTTCTTTATATTAGTAAATATACCTTGGTTTAATTGCTTTGCTGCTAGACTTGAAGCTAAACTTTTTAAGTTATATATCTTTTTTTAAAATGTGGGTCTGAGTTTTGAGAAAATTCCCTAGAAAACACACACATAATTTAAAAAAAATTAAAAAATTAAAAATACATAAAAATTATGTAACTTTATATATGTGTTGCATTAAAGCTAGCAGCTGAAAGTTAACTGTGCAACTTTAAAAAAATTAATTTTTTAAAAAAGTTGTCTAAATTGTATTTAAAGAAAAATGTAAGTAGCATTTACATTTATTCAATAACATTTAGCATACTATGCTGGGTTTCTGTACCAGAAATGGCCAGTTTAATGTACAGATGTATGTTATGTCTGCTTAAATTGTTTAATTTTTTTAAAATAAAAGTGCAGCATCTTCTAATTACTTTCACTTTTATCAGCTTTCTGTGAACCGATGCTGCATTCTAAGACTTTTATAGTTTTAGAACCTGTACGATGTGGTAAAGTAATCTTCTTTGAGTTTAGGATAAAAGTAAAGACCTTTTTGCAGACCCACGTACCACTGTTTCTAACATTTCAGAATAAAACAACAAAAAAGAGCAGTGGTCACTATTAAAATTTAAAAAAAACATTTATTTTTGGACAAGCTGCTAATTTTAGCTTGTTAGAAATTTTAAATTGATAGGTTTTTAAACAAGAATCATGAAATTAACCCCCTCCCTTCTTTTTGGTTATGTTGGGTGCTTTGTAGTTTAATAACTATTTAAACAGACTGAGTGAATTTAATAAACTATTTGGGTCCCCTTCCCAACTATGCATGTGTAAATGCTTGTAATCTGGTTTCTCCCCCTCTGGCTTCTCTAGTGGTATAAAAAATTGTGCCGCTTTAAGTCCCCCCCAACCCCCAGTAAATCCTTTTGGTACATTATTTGATGTTTACATTAAATGTGACATTATACACAGATATTCAGATATTTTGCTAACTGTTTTGTTTGAGGATCACCATTAAAGAAGATTTTTATGTTTGTCAAACCTGTATCCAAATTAATCCAAATTACGGGGAGAGATGAATTGTGGGAAAGGGAGGGGGAATCAGATGCAAACTACATGGTTGTTTTTATCTTTGTATGTTCTGCTAAGGTTATCCACAAACTTGGTCTTTTACCACTGTATATTGACAGTGAATCTATAAAGAATTATACAGCAATATGTAACAAAATCTTGGGGGAAAAGCATTTTAGGGTAATGTTTACCTTTCAGGTTGTGGTCTTGTACACTGTTCATACTTTTGAAGTAAGGGATGTATCTTTTATAGCCTCTACAGAGGTCCTTGTCCTCCTTTACACTTGAAAATATCTCTTTGATTGGAGACATTCATTTTTATCAACAATTTATTTATTTTAATTTCCCATGGTAAAAAAAATAACAACGACAAGTGATATTTTCAAAGCTAGTCTAATTTAAAACATTTATTTCTTTTTTTTGAGGTGGCCCACGTCCCCCACAGCTTTGAAACCAATGGGATGAATTAACAGTCTTTTGCTGAGCTACTGTACTTGCTGCTATATTCAATCTGATATTTGCTCTGGTTACAATCTACCTGATCCCTGTTGGATTTTGTCAGTTGAGACCGTGAAATCTCAGCCGGGTTGATATCAATATAATTTGTCCTTATTGATTTCATGTAAGTTGGGATTTCGCTCAGGGATCTTTCTGTAAAAAGTTTGCATACAAATGTAATGCACTGCAGTGTTGGATAATTATTTGGGGTCATGGCTCAGAATGCAGGATAAAGCTTCATAGCTATGTAACTTTATTTCTTAGGGTTAGGAAACCAAGCAAGGGACAAAGGAATAGAGAACCTGCTCTGTTTTGTTTAGCCCCTTGAGCATATGGCTTCAGATCAGGAAGATACAGTGTCCAAGTTCTGTGCCTCTTCAATATTGCCATCACTGGTATCATTAGTAACTTTGACGACACAATAAAGTGAGAGATAATAATTACATCATCTCTGGGTATATACCAGGATTTGCTCCTGCTAAATAAATCTGAACCTACGTATTTCTTAAAGTTCTGTGGAACATGGTGAGACTTTTGCCAGAAGTGCAGTTCCAGTCCTCCTGAGGTGGGCACAGTCAAGAGTTACTGGTGGCTTATGCAAAAGAAGGGTGACAGGTTGCATAGCTGCACTGGCTTGGTTCAGCACTCTGAACTTCAGGGGTTTCCAAATCACTCATTTATATAGCCTTACAATTCTGTTCACCTTATGTGGAAATTAAACTAATAAATATTTCCTGTTCATTTTCCTCAACTTGTGAGTAAGTCAAGGAACAGTTATTCACGTCTGAATGTGTCATATTTAAACTCTCATACACTGGTATTTTCATTGCAGGAGCAACTTTCAAAAAACATCTTTTTTCTTTCTCTTCCCATCTGATCTTGCTATTGTTGTTTAACATATGCCTAATTGCTTTTAGATCATCAGTAAGCTATTGTCAGAAGTGTATGTCTCCATCTGGAAGACTGATTGTTTTATCTTTTCAGACTCCGGGACTTGTTACAGTAGAATTTCAGTAAATTTAGGAAGAGGTTGCAGTCTTCAATCCATTTGATCCACATAATGGATTTTAACAGTTACTTTCTATGGAGTGAAATAGGTTGTTGTTTGGAATAAAATGTCGCATGTATGTGAACCCTAATGAGGTTAATGTTTCAAAAACAACACTTTTTCTAAACCTGTCACAGAACATAGAATTGGCTTTGCATATATGGGAAAGCTTCACATTACTACACTCTCCTGATTTTCATTATGTTTGATCATAAAGGTGTTATGATGTTCCAGCATGTTCAGACCGCTGGCGTTTAATTATGCCACTATTAGAGAAATTATACCTGAAGTTAGATTTAAATATTCTGATTGACTTCAGTTATTATGGCATTGCGGTTGCCAGTGGTGTATGCAATGAATAAGGCATATGTGTTCTCAGTTACTATAAAATAATCATTCTGATATCCTGATTTTTTAAAAATCCCACAATGAATAATCAGTGCCGCTATGCACAGGACTGTGGGTCTTACTTATTTAAAGGTTAATTCATTTACCTTCTCCATACTCCAGAAGGAGGGTTTTCCATCTTCATTTCATGTTTCCAAGAAAACATTTTCTAGTGTCATGGGAACAAGCATGTAAGCATGTCATATATCATTGCACTAAAAACAGTTTCAGGCTTTATTACTAGAGTTAGAAGACATATTCCACTTATATTTCATAATATTTAAAAGAAAAGGCTACTGGTCTTTGACATATGAACCATGTTGGTTGATGTTATATTGGATATTTTAGGTAAAGTAAGTATTTTTCTTCTAGCTGAAGGATTCATTTTCCAGGAAGTATTTAATCTTGTAAATTCCGGGAAAATGCAATAGCACTTCTGGGCTTGCTGTGAAATAAAGCCAGAAAATTGGGTGAGGATGGTGATGACAGTTCAACTTTCCAGCCTCACGTAATTGGTAGTGTGGTTTCTCCATCTCAGAATTTTTCCCCCTACCTTTGCTTCTGTGCCACAAAGACATTTAGTATTTACCATCCCACTGCAGGGTTTACCCCCATGATCGATGGGTTCCACATAAAATGTTCATCTTATATCTCATGTTCTTCCTGAGGAAGGACACTTCAAATTTTGCATATGTTCCACTGCTTATGAAAGTAGCTTCAATATATACACACTTGGATGTAAATATGGGAACAGCCTAAATGGTAGGTGATCATATCCTTAGATGTTATGTGCAGATGGCAGCCCATCACCACGTATAGAACAGTTTGCCTCAACATAGTCCCTTCCAGATGCTTGTGAGTAGAACTCTGCTCATGATTGACCATTGCTCATGCTTAGGGCTGATGGAAATAACAATCCAAAACCTCTGAAGGGCACTCGATTGTGGAAACATGTTATGTACTCTTTGAAGATTTAAGAGGGATCACTCTATATATAGAGAGATTTGTGTATATTTTCATTCAGGGAAATTATTGCTTTGGAAGTTTCTTCAGGTTTTACATGGTTTAGATTCAGACAGAGCGTCTTTACCAAGCCAGTGAGAAAAGACAGAACAGGTGGGTGAAGCCGAACCTTCAAAGGCATACTTGAACAGTTTTGATCAATATTTGATAGTTGTGGGGCCCAAATAGTTGCATCTACACACCTTCAGCATTTGTCTTCGCCCTTTGTGTTTTCCAGTTCCTTTGAGTCAATTAGCAGTGTTCTGGTGTTCCTACCCATTACTTTCCTTTGCCACAACAGAAGAACTCTTCACCAGCTTGTTTTAGTTCACCAGAGCCTGGAAATCTCAGTACCCCCCTCCCCTTCATGGTTACAAGCAGGAAGGTGGTATGGCTTGAGAAGCAGGTCAGCGCCTGATTCTTAGACTTTCAAAGTATTGTGTGTGTTGCATCATTTGCTAATCAACAATGAACTAGACAAGCTGTCTTTGGGAATATCTATTTTGTTATGGGTTTATAGTTCTCAAGTATTTGTACTGTTACAGATTCCTAGTCATAAACACCCAAGAAGTAGCTTTAAGTAAATAAATGTGAATTTTCAAGAATTGTGCTGTCAGTTCTGAATCTAGTAGCACCGGTATGGTAAATATATATACAGTATATATATATTGTTAACTGGCATTGCACTAGAATTTTAATAGATTCACTTGACTGTTGATCCATCATCACACACCATTAGTTTCTGTTTGGGTAAAGTAGATTTAAATTTAACTAGGAAAGATAAGTAAATGAAGGTGACTTTGAGCTATATAGGTACATTAAGTTCAGGATCTGATGGGATGGGATTTGTGTCCCGTCTGTCCCAACCAAAATGCTCCCCTTTAGACAGATTAGCCCTACTGGATGGGCACTGTATTTCTCATCACGTGAAAAATGACTGTGATTCTATTTCTATTTTACCTTATTGCAGGTGATTCACCATTTTCATTCTTGCACTGTGTGCTACCTAGTCAGCAATCCAGATCCATTTTGATAGTAGCTGGTGCTTGTCTCAGATGTTGAAATGGTTGCAAGGCTAGGTTTTTGCTCATGCTGAGATGCACTATGAATTAAAGCCACATCATACCATGAATCTAATGTGTTCCCTTTTAGGGCCGGGGGGGAAAGACCCACTCCTGTCTGTGTTGCCTGTAATAAGTCACTGCTGACTGTTGTTTTGTGTTCTAACAAGTTCTTTGTTTTCCTAGAATACATTTGAGACATTTCTACCCAATATTAAATTAAGCATGCCTCAGTCATCTATCCACTAACATTTGTTCTACCTCCAGTGTCAGCCTCAGCTAAAATATCACCCTGAAGTCTGCTGTTGGAAGCTGATAAGTCCCCCATTGTCTCGTGTTTAGGCCATTCCTGTCTTTTCATATAAAAGCCATTTGAAAACTGAAGGTTCATGTAAAAAGGCCCATTTGCAAGACCTGGCCTAGTTTAAGCAATGAGCAAGTTGCAATACAGTCACTTATAGTGTGCACAAGATTGCTAAAGGTCTTAGCATACATCAAGGGAGGTGACATGCGGGTACTATGGATGTACAGTAGTTCCTGTGAAGTACCCTACTGCTGTGGCTCAAAAGCAGCAGGGTGTAGTTGACAGGTAGTCGCTCCTGAGCAATCACCACCAGCTTGTAAGCTCACCGGCAGCTTCACATACAGGTACCCTTCTTCAGGCAAGGGAGTCGTAGAGTGAGAACTCAGGTACAAAACTGGGGGAGAAACGTTTGAGGGACTTAACTTCACCCCATTGAAAAAGTTGAGTGCAAGTATTGATGTATATATATATCTTAGAGCTTATGCGCTACCTCTGCATGATGCATACAGCTATTTAGCTGGCTGTTTCAGCCGTGACATTAGTACACAACTTTTAGTGGGCAGAAAACCACAAGTGAGAGAGGCCTAATAATGCATGGTCTTTGCACAACAGCCCCTGGCTGAAGGTGGCAGTGCCACACACGCCCCCCTCCTAATTTGTGGCCGGTTCTTTGGGTTAACTGGTTCCATCCCTTTTGAAGTGTAGCTATCAATCAGTCTGTATCAGCATGACTCAGTAAAAAAACATACACCATTCCTTTGGAGAGAATGCTCACGCCACATTTTTATAACAGGATGGTTTGTGCCTCCTGTCTGTTTCTTTGCCAGCTATTTTGCCTTGCTTCATTGTTGATGGAAGACTTTTAACCCCCATCCCATCTGTTATCATAGCCTTTCTTTTCAGGTCACATCTGATTGGGTCCTTGACTCCCTCCATTCCTTTCCCATTGTTCCTTAGGTAACAACTCCTGACATTCGCCTGCCCACCTCTTTGGCTGCCACTCCCAAAATGACACTATAGCCATGGACAAGCTACCAGAAAGATTGGACTGAATTTTTGCAGCTCCTACTATTTGGCAACAGTGCCCAACCATGCCAACTTAAATCCATTGATTTTAATGAAACACAAACACACATAACTGTACAATATCAATCGAGAGGGAGAAACTAGACCTCGCAAAATAGGATAGATGTGATTCTATGACAAAAGCTGGATAGCTCAGTGGTTTAGGTATCTGGCGGCAGAGGCAGAGGTGGGGAGTTCAATTCCCCACTTGTGCCTCCTTGACAGGAGCTAGATTCAATGATCCACAGGGTCCCTTCCAGCTCTGCAGTTCTAAGATTATTATTATATATTATTATTATATTTATGCAGCTCTGTTAATAAAAGTATACATTAGAAAAATGGTCCATTCTTAAGTGGATATAAAGCAATCCCATTATTTGAGAGACAAGAATACATCTTCTTTAATATACTTGAGATTGTCATGTTTCGTGTGATATTTACCATGGCTTACTTTAGAAATTAAAATGGCCTTATATATTAAAATTAGTACTTCTAATATTAGTGAAAACCCCTGAATGTAGCTCAAAAGAGTTGCAAAGCACCAAGAATGGTTTAAGCCTTTCGGAACTGAAATTGCATCAGTTGGCTACTAATGGTCAAGATTGTTAAATCCAGAAGGTGCTTTTTAAATTGTTTCAACAACTTTTGTGATTCCTTGTAAACTGTGTTGAAGATTGGGGTCTTACAGTATATATCTTAAAGGGTAATGATTGTCTTGGTGCACTCTTTATTTTTAAAGATTAATGGTAACACAAAATGTATTTTACTGCTACATTTAAAATGTATTTATAATAAAATGCCTTTTTAATAAATAATATTAAATTTACCAGTGCATTATGTTTGCAATGCATGCTGATGGGTCATCTTAAATGTCCACAACACATGTTGGTGCATAGCATTAGTTGGATTCAAGATCTAGTGAGAAATACTTTTTGTTTTTACTTTATATGGAAAAGTAGGCTAAACTGCATTTGCAAGTAGTCAGCTCAGCTGTTCTTGGTTAAAATAGCTCCATTAACTTCTGGGCACTTCACCAAAACTGAAACCATTTTCATGTATCTTTCAACACTGCCTTGACCTGAAGGACTGTGTCTTAAAATCTGTACTAGTGTTTGACAATAGGGCATGTACTTGTTTTCACTACCAAAGAAGAACACAGGTGTTAAATAGACATGGATCTATGAATTGCAAAGTGACATTGTCAGACGTCTAATGTGTGCCCTAAAGTGACAGGTCTGAAGCTACCATATTCCCACTTTGCTGAGCCTTGGCATGGCCATGTGCTCCATTCTGTTTATGAAGGATGGTGGACTTGGGAGCAAAATCAGCATCTCTTGAACACTAAGACTAATGAAGGTATTACTGAAAAGTCATTGAAATACATTTCTTTTTGCCATAGTTGACTATGCATCTTAGATCATGACAGAACAGTACTTCTCAAACAGCGCGCGCGCACACACACACACACAATTTTTTAAAAAAGCATATCCTTCCTGATTTTCTCTGTGGAAGCAGCCATTGCCTTCTGCTGGCTATGATGACAGCAGATGTGGAAATGTGACCATGAGCAAGGAAGTGTGCTGGTTCATTGGCCTATGTTGAGTCAGATGTCTTTGTTGAAAACAGGCTGGCATTCCTGCCCACCAAACGTTTGGTTTCAGTCTGATGCAGAGCAAAATAATACAAAAATAACGTTCAGTATCCTGTTTTGGAGTGCAAGGGCAAACACATATGAGGTCTCTCCACTCCACGGGGCCCTGGAGTTACACACCTGGGTATGTCAAGGGGAACCTTGGTGGGGTAGGATGAACATTTACACTGTTTTTCTTCCACTCTGCATTTCCTAAACAGTAATAGCCGAAGGAAATACATTGTATTGCCATTGGCTGAAAGACAACAAAACACAGTAAGTGAATACATGAAAGTCATTTGTGCTTGATTGTCATTTAAGTGTGTGGGCCTATAATGTGTGACTCTTGAAGTCCACTTCATGTAATTCTGTCTTTAAACTCCATTACAATCAAGTATTTTCCATGTGTAAGTGAAAACTAGAATGTCTGGAACGTCACAGAGGTTTTTGCAAATGGATATTTCACAAGTGTAGGGGTTTGACAGGAACAGCCATGCCTTACTGACAAATGTACATGCATTGGTAGGTTTGCCAGCCAATAATGTGAGATGCTCCCAATATATTACTGTATGTTGTTAATAGCTCTGTGAATCAACGATGACATCCTTCTACATTTTAAACTTAGCAAAACACGTTACTGAACATATGGTAAAGAGTGGGCATTAAAAAGAATCCTGGCAGTGCATGATCAAGCCCTCAAATACATACTGATGTATATTTAATGAGGAGGAGGGGTGCCCCAGAAATTATGCAGCAGAATTCAAGCTGGTATTTTCCAGGATGTTCACTATATTATAATTAGATTTCCTTTTCTCTCCCCTTGGCTGATTTCTTTCTCCTGCTGAGGAAGGAAAGGTAACCTTTCAGAACATTTCGGTAATTTTAAACTTAGGCCCAATTGTTACCCAGGGGATGCTTAGCTACATCCAATATGTTAATTACAGCTTATTTCATGTCTCTGCATGCCTTTGGGAATGTAAACAAGTCTGTCTTTAAGAGATCAGGTAAGCAGTGAACAGGCTGTCAAATAGTAAAATTTGCTGTCTTATAAATTGTTGTATTTTGTTATTTACAATAAAGAAAAGACATACATTTTAAAAATAATATTGTGGCATCTCAGAGACTAACAGATTTATTTGGGTGTGAACTTTTGTGGATTACAATGCACCTCCCCAGACATGTAGAGTGTAATAATTAGACTACGGGTTTATATAAACAGAGTATGTGGTGCGGGATGTTGATCAAAGAAGATGGGAAGGGAAGAAGATCTTAATTGTATTCTCAAAGGCTTTCACAGCGGGGATCTGATGGTGGTTGTCGGTTTTTCAGGTTCTTTGGCGAAACGTCAGGAAGAACAACCTTCAGAACATGGCCAAAGAACCTGAAAAAAACACAACAACCATAATATCATAATTACATTGAAATGGCTCTTCACATTGATAATGCCATTATTCACACAGCTAATGAACATTCAAAGTATTGCTTACATAGACATCCTATAATAAGCAGAGCAATCAGCAGTATTCTTATCAGCAATCATTCTATAATAGGTGGAGGAATCAATTACAATGACATTTGTAATCATTGTAGAGAAAAGAAATTACAAAGGAAGATCTGAGAGTGAAGCAGCTGAAAGGGGCGTCATTAAGATATATCAGTGTTCATCCAGAGGACTAAATAAAGGCCAAGGTTTATTAGCACATTGGGTCTGGAATCCTTTTGCATGTTTACTCCAGCATGACTCCACCAGCGTAAATTTCATCTGCAAATTGCTGTAAGTGAAAAAGTCATTGTAGGCTTTGTAGACAGTGAAAAATCCATGCCTCTTTCCTGTGTTTGCTCTGCATCATATGCAGCCATGAAATTCCTGTCAGTTTTCTTATTTCCAATTCAATGCAGGAGTTAGTTGATGATTTAGCAGGTAGAAGAACTGGTCCTAAAGCATGTTTGTTGCTGGAATGTGAAGTGAGGTTTTGAAGACAACTTTGTGTGCTTTGGGGTCTTTTTCTCTCCCCATTTGAAGGGCCTTCCTTTATCTTGGCAACAGCACATATCAGAGCTGCAAGCTACAACGGTCCCCTTCTAAGGAAGTACTCCTTCATGCATCACTGACAAAGAGATTTCTGACTAGACATGGAAATCATGTAGAATGAGCCAAACAATCAGTGATGCAGTGGAGATAACACTGGCAGGGTGCAAGACACAGGACTTCCTGAGTAGCAGGGACTACAACATAATCATCTCTTCTCCCTCTGAGTTCCCTGTTCCTCTGGAGCTTAGCTGCAAACCTCACAGGAGCTAGAAGATGATTTTTTTCCTCTGGAACAGAATATGGCTGAAAGTCATCCCTATTGTAATGCAAAACATTTGAGCACTGTTTGATCTTCAGTGAGCATTAACTTCTCTCTCTCTCTCTCTCTCTCTCTCTCACACACACACACACACACATCTTATTCTTTTTGAAGACATGAACATATAACCCCCCCCCCGGTGATTTCTTCTTTTTAACACCCCTGACAAGAAGAGGGCTGGCCTTGGGGAGTGTCCTGAGAAGCACCTGGAGTTCCAGATTTAGCACTACAAAACCTAAATGTTATATTTCTCGGGATTGGGATTTTTTTGGACTCCAGTTCCCAGAATTTTCCAATGATTTCCCTGGGAGAATTGTGGGAGTTCCAGATCAGAGACTTGCATCTACAGACATCAACAGACACATGACTTTTGCTCACCAGGGATCAGAACCCAATTTAGTTAACATGGTTGCAAAGGACAAATGTGTGCGCTCTCACACACCAGCGGGTTCCCTTTCATACACCTGATCTTATCTGGGTTTCAAAAATCGGTGCCGGAAGGGAGTTCTGCTAGATGGGAAAAACCACTGCACCACAGCCCTTCTGCACATGTTTTGTCCCAATTGGACTTTGTCTGATATAGTAAGAAAGACTTTACCATGCCATGTTATCCCAAATTCTTTTTTATTCATAATGTACTTTAATAACATCACACATGCCAAGAACTCAAAGTAGCATTATTTACATTTGTTTACTCATCTCCAGTGATAAAGATAGAGAAAATACCCTATACAGAGGTTAGAATATGGATTAGACCTCTTGATTTTCTGTTCACAGATGTTTCCAAAAAAAGGGGCCATGTGTATTTCTCTCTTTGTGGTGCAGTAAAAATCAATTGGGTTACTATCACTCCTTCCTCAGCGATACCAAGTGGGTGGTCTTACGAACTGGTGGTTATCGCAGAGCGCAATGATTTATCACTGTTCTCAAAGCTGGCAGTTTGAGCACACTTTACAACAGGAATACTGCTTTGTATGAGTCTCTCACTTTTGATTCTACAAACAGGCATTATCCAAAGATTTTTCAGTCACCCTACGCTGGCTCCTGGAGGTCTCCTATAATATCTATATATAGCTGACCTTTTGGGGTGGGAGAGGGAATACGATGTTCCTTAAGTGGCACTAGGATATGAAGTGTCTTAATGCTCTGGTTCGGCATCCATACAAGTCTCCCATGGGTTCTGGGGCATTCGAGGCAAGGAGATGAAGAGAAGAATCACTCCACAGATGAAGAGCAGGACGAAGGAAGTGCAAGCACAGGCGAAGGACCAGGAATAATAGTATTCGATCCAGGCCGTGTCATCACTGTCAACCATCTTCTTGACAGATTGCCTCATGACTTCCACAGATATGATAATGCACAAACCTTAGAGAGAGTGAAAAAAAAATCAGGGTAGAGGGTTAATAGCTGAGTGGAAAAATTAGCATAATTGGCTGAAATTTAGCTTCTAGTCCCAACCAAAATAAACCTCATGAATCAGTTGCTTTGATTAGTCAACATAGTCGAGAGAACCACCTGTCTAAAGATCAAATCAACATTTATATAAATCCCATGGATTCTATGGGCCCATACTAGTGGGAGACCAGCAAATGGGTCTGAAAAACAATCCTAATTATTAGTGGTTTACAAATTAACTTAGTCCTGGAATCTTCTTTCCAATTGCCCAGTATTGCAGGAACACGATAAGAAGAACTATGTTATATCAGCTTGAAAGCAAATCTATTCCAGGATCCCTGTTTCCACCACAATCAACTATATGAGAAGCCCACAATCAGGACCCAATAGCAACTCATATTCAAGAGTAAGGTACCTCTGACACTGGAGAAAAGATATAGCCACCATGCCCATTACCTTTTGACTACCTTATCGTTCACGAGCCCTGTGTGCATGTGCATAGTCTAATTGTACATTGCTAAACAGCACAACCTTACATTGATCTCTCCTCCAAAAAGACACAAACAGTCTGGTAATTGTTCTCTTGATACTGTACATCCAACACTTTGGCAAGGAAGCACATGGCAACAATTGTATGCAAGAAGAATATGACGCTAGTATCTTCAAGAGACCAGAACAAATAATTGTAGCTGAAAAGAGAAGGCACTCTGGAAGCTATGAAGCCAACCAGAGATGACAAAGGCAACTTCACAATCGGTGCCAAATATGTACTCTTCTTCTCTTTGTCTTTTTCTTATTTTTGAAGGAGTAAAACTTTGAAAAGTGAGCCAGCTACATAGATGATATGTTTCTCAGATTAGAAATAAATATTTCATTTTTGACCAGTCTCTTGTCATTCTCTGTTTGTCAATTTGATCCTCATTCTCATCGATTCCTATCCCCATCCTTTCTAAATATAATTCACACCATGACATCCATACATCTCTTATGGGATGTTCTACCTGAGAATGTGTAAAACATGGCCGCTGGCCTAAGGAGATAATCCATCTTTTTCCTGAAGGATAAGAGGACACAGATTGTTCCAATGATGGAGAAGCCGACACTGAAGATGGCAATGGCAGCTGCAGAAATGCTGTACTCTGGAAAGACAAAAAGATGGGGGGGGGAAAGTAATTTTTCTCAACAAGCAGCTGTTCCAGTGATGTTGGAACTGTGTCATTCATTTAAACATAGATCAAAACAATGCACCTTTAAAAATGAGCTTAAAAAAAGATAGAATTGCCTTAAAACAGTCTACAAGGTTCCTCATCCAGTAGTCATCAGGACTGGAAATAGAAATAATTTGTGTAGTTTTGCCTTTTGTTGGCTGTTCCTACCTTTTGTGATGGGGAGGTGATCTAAAACAGGAATTCAGAACAAAGAGTTTAAGGAAGAGGAGGGCTTTGAAGCAAAGCTCTTTTTTTATTTCTTGGCTTCCTCAGATGCAGCTCCCCACGTGCCTTAGACCAGTGGTCCCCAACCTTGGGCCTCCAGATGTTCTTGGACTTCAAATCCCAGAAATCCTGGTCAGAACAGTTTATGGTGAAAGCTTCTGGGAGTTTTAGTCTAAGAACATCTGGATGCCCAAGGTTGGGAACCACTGCCCTAGACATCCTAGCCAATGGTCAGAGACTCTGAAAGTTATTGCCCCCAAATCTGGAGAACATAAGAGAACCTCTCATCTAAAGATCAGCTAAGACATTACCCAGGGCACAAATTTTGAGATAGCTGGAATTCCCCTGGAGTGAAATTAAATACTGCTTGAACCATATGAGACAAATAAACTAGGTTATGCATATTATTTCCATAACCATAAGAAATAATTGCATCAATTTAGCTTCTTGCATAGTAAAGGTATTCCAGGTTAATCCTCTTCCATATTTTGCATATGTTGAAGTACATCCCTTTGCTCTGAGGAGTGTGTTTCTAATGCAGCCTTCGTCTGGTGTCTTCTGGGAACATTTGGAGTACAAATCCCACCATTTTACTCAGAGTGACTGGACTTGTGTTTCAAGCCATACAGAGGGCAGTTTCCCTAGTAAGTGTGTGTGTGGGGGGGATGTTTGCTTCATAGCTTAGCTGCCTCATTTTAAGATTTGCTGCTGACGGATGTTCCAACACAGCAGTACTCGACATGGCATCACTGTGGCATGGCATCCATATGAGAATGCATAGGAGCTGGTGCCCAAGCGTAGGGAAAGGACACAGCAGCCCGCGTGAGCCTATTTCTTTGGATATTGCTTCATTTACTGAAAAGTGTTGTACAGTACTTTGAGACTATAAGAGACCATGTTCCTCTCTTTGAGAAATCAGAAACTGAAAGTCCATTAGATGAAAACTGAGTGAATTGTCTGAATCTAAGGGATTCCCTTGATGAGGGCCAAGATATTATTTTCCTGCCTTTTGACCTACAGCTTTCTTCAAAACCTGAGGTAATAGGAGTCTATCTTAGGAAGAGTATACTCACTGCATATAAACAATTTGCTAAAATTCTTTGGGAAACCCTGATTTGTTAAAAATTGCAACAATTGTAAAATATGTTATTTTGACAGCTGATTGTAGGCAAAATTATTGCTGATTAATTATTAACAATTTTTGTTGCTTTGCTTCATTGCTGTCAGAGGCTAATCAGGAGTTTTGTCCATTTCATCCATTTTTAAGTAATTTGAAATGATTTTTATTTCAACTACTGAACAATCAAATAATGAATTAACAAATAAATGTTATGACTGCCTTCAGTTGTTAACAAAGGAACTGTTCTAGGCGATTTACTATCACAGGCTTAGCTCTGATCTTAAGGGCTCCTAAAGCTATGCATATTTAATATACAGAGAGATTTATAATGTATTTTTACAGTACATTAATATTTATTACTGTTCTAGATTACAAGCAAAACAAATGAAAAACATAGGCACATACGTGATACATAACAATGTATATAAACAAGTGAGACAATAACATTAATCTGCTGCTGAGATTAGATCTGTGGTATATTGCAGAGTTAGGAAAACCACGCAGTGCCTGAATGGGGAGGGTGATATATATACATATTAAATAATTCAAAATGTTGTGGATGTTCTGTGTTAATATGCAGATTTTACTCATTTTGTCTCTCTCCATTTGTTATTCAATGTATTAAAAGCCACAAAAAAGCGTAATTGGATGGCTGGAATATAAGGATGCTTATTTTTAGAAAAGGGCAAATATGTTTTATTGTACAGTACTCTTTTTATCCTGTGTTTCCAGTTTTCTTGAATTTCTATCCTGATCTTAAAAGCAGAATTGATTTGACAGAAGCAATCCTACGGTATGTCTAGCAGTGGCTCCCAACCTTGGGTACCCAGATGTTCTTGGACTGCAACTTTAAAAAACCCTGGCCAGCAGAGCAAGTTGTGGAGGCTTCTGGGAGTTTTGGTCCAAGAACATCTGGGTTCCAAAGTTGGGAACCAGTGTTCTATTACTTTCCATTTCCCCTTTCCTCTGTACAAATAGCTGACCATCTTTGTAATCTCATGAATGCTGAACAGGAGATGAAGGTTCTATTCTGGTGTTGCTCTGCCATGCCGAGACATAAACTGTAAGCAAAGAAACAATAAGAAATATCACAAATGAGCCCAGCATATCATAATATTCCCACTGGTGCCTTACATTAAGGATAAACATCATCATTACAATTGCTATATGGAAAGTTACCCATTTGCATAAGTAAGGTTGTTTAACTACTTTAATTTAGGAGAGCTGCAGAAAAGAATTGTGCCATACAGTGCTAGTGTTGAAAAAAGGCGGGAAAGGTCAAACGACTGACAAAAAGCTGAGCAGTGCTTCCACCAGCAGCCAGTGACTCAGAGCCTGCCCTCCCTATTCATAAGACCCAGTTATCCATCAGTTCTATATATCCAACAGCATTTGGCCAGTGGTTCTGAGATACCTTGGCATGTTCCCTAGACCAGTGGTCCCCAACCTTGGGCCTTCAAATGTTCTTGGACTACAACCCCCAGAAGCCTTCACCACCATCTCTGCTGGCCAGGATTTCTGGGAGTTGAAGTCCAAGAACATCTGGAGGCCCAAGGTTGGGGACCACTGCCCTAGACTATTCGGGAGCTGCCATTTAAGGAATTCCACAGGCTAGTTCTGAACCTCACCTAGCAGTACAATCTTATGCGTGTCCGTGCAGAAGGAAGTTCGTTTGTGTTCAGTGGGACTGACTCAGAAGTGAGGGCACATGAGATCCTTTTTTTATAAAAAACGAAATCCACAGGTAGGCAATACAATATCTTTTTTGGATCATTCATAAAGTATGCAATATTTTGTGTTCCCTAGAACCTATCACCAGGATGGATGATTAAAAATGGGGGGAACAGCCATGCATGGACTGCCTCCCTCATCCTTTTCCTGTTGCTAAGCCATATCCATTTCTTCCTCACGCCCTAGGAAAGGCACTGAGTCATATTCTGGAAGCCCTCCTTCTACAGTCTTTTTTTTAAAAAAACTTTCCTTTTGTTGGAAGCAACCTCCTTGATGGTTGAACTCGGCATTTAATTATACTGGCTGGGCTCCTACATGAGGTACCTTGCGACCATAACAAAAAGAGTGCCTTCTTACCTCTTTGTGTTGATACTTCAAATATTTCCGTGCTCTCTCCTGAGACAAAGTGTGTGAAATAAGAGCAGTTGCGTTCTGAAGGGAAGAAAAGAGAGAACACACCAGTGGATGAAAACACAGTCCTAACGGTTTTCCTTTATTATTTTGATCTTAGTTGCAAACTGAGAAAGATGAAAAGGCTGAAGAACAAGCAGCAAAATTCTACTCCCCCCCCCCACACCTTCAAAAGTAAATCTGACTTCTCTCTAGCGAAGTACAAAGAGTTATAACTTCAAGGAGATTTCAGGGTGAGGAAGATGCCATGGCAGCAAACAAAGAATTTTGTGGCATATTGTGAATATGTCAGGTAAAAACCAAATTACAGTGACTGTAATAGAGTTTTCAAGGAAAGTGAGATATTTAAGGACTGGTTCCACTGTTGCTGCCCTCCAGCGAGTTTCCATGGTGGAGCTCAAATTCGAATCCAGATCTCCCGAGTCCTAATCTGTCACCTTGTCTACTATACTATGCTGCACATCAATCATAACATCTTAAACTTCTGTTTGGCATCAGCTTTAGTGGATTGTAGCATATTTATTCATGGCACGATGAAGAGATTCCTCAGTTTGTATGTGTTGGTTTTGTTTATTTAGTTCCTTGTTCCTCGTCTTTTAAAGCCCTGCATTTAAATAGGTCAAAACCATTTACTTATTCATTCAGGCTCCTATTGGCAGAAGGCTCCTTATATCTCAGAATTCAGGTCCTTCCCAGACCTACCTTTGAAGATCCCAGAAGGCAGGGATTTAAGTTGGTTTGTGTGTGTGTGTGTTCCTACATATGGCCAGAAGTTCTGCATGAAAGTATATCTCTGAACTCTAACCCTTCTCCCAACACTGTTATCTTTTACCTAGCTGGTAGACATGCAAATCTGATATAGAACAAAAGAAACTAGAAGTGATATAGCACTTACAAGACTAATAATTTTTTCCATAAGCTTTTTAATGTCCCAGAACACTTCTTCAGATGAACCGAAGACCACAGGAGTGCACCCAGCAAGGTGTCAATGCAAATTAAGGAAAGAGTAGCATCCTTGCCAAGGGGACGTGGTGGTGCTGCGGGTTAAACCGCAGAAGCCTCTGTGCTGCCAGGTCAGAAGACCAGCAGTCCTACTATCGAATCCATGTGAGGGAGGGAGTGCCCGTCGCTTGTCCCAGCTCCTGCTGACCATAGCAGTTCGAAAGCATGCAAATGCGAGTAGATAAATAGGGACCCCCTCGGTGGGAAGGTAACGGCGTTCTGTGTCTACTTGCGCTGGCCACGTGACCACGGAAGATTGTCTTCAGACAAACGCTGGCTCTATGGCTTGGAAACGGGGATGAGCACTGCCCCCTAGAGTCGGACATGACTGGACTAAATGTCAAGGGGAACCTTTACCTTAGCATCCTTGCCAATGAAGATCAAACCCTGCAAAACCATTGGACTCTCTCCAGTTGTACCAGTTAATAGTCCAAAAGGTGTGGTTGATGTTTCCTCAACAGAAGCTAATATCTAGGAAAGGTAAAGAATTGTCTCTGCCATGCGGGACCTCCCTCCTCTGGCTTATCTTAAGTAGTGGCTGGGAGAAAAGAGGTGCAGCTAGGTTGCCTTTTCTTCTCCTTACAGAAGGAGATTCAACAAGCAGAGTCTAGCATCCAACACAGCAATCCTAATTTGGTGGATAGATGTTATGTAATGAGGTAGCTGCCTAGAAATGCTGTCTTCTTGCTTACCATCCATAAATAAGCCTTTTGAGACTTTTTGAGTAGTGATCTTTCTTTTTCAGTGATGATAAATATCTTGCACTCAAGGTTGAGAGCGGGGTAGGACTGCTAACCTTTTTTGACAGGCCTTTCTGCTGTACAGAATTGCCTCCAAAGGCGGAAAATCCAAACGGTGTTCTCATATCCCCATGGACCTGAACATACAAACACTAGACAATTTAAGATGATGCCTCAAACCCTGTTGCCTCCTGTACTTCTGACAAAGTCTCTCTGTGTGTATGTGTGCTGTCAAGTCGAATACAACTTATGGTGACCCTTTCCAGGATTTTCTAAGTAGAGTATAATCAGAAGTGGTTCACCCTTTCCTTCTTCCGGGCGTGCCCTGGGACTGTGCAGATTGCCCAAGGTTGCACAGGCTGGCTCTTTTGCTGGGATGCACAATGGAGAATTGAACTCTCAACCTCTGGTTTTGCAGCCTGATACTTAAACCACTGAGCTACCCAGCCAGCTGACAGAAATCTAAGGAACAGAAATAGAATGGATGAAAACCTCTGAACGTTTGAGAAATACAGTGGGAGAAGGTAAGGGACAGAAAAGCTTTTCCTGTAGAACTCTTGTCTGTTCAGATACTCTTAAATACTGGGATGTGAGCTGAAAAACAACTTTTTAAAAAACTCACAACTAATATTAAGGGAAGTCCTATTTCTAAACATCCCGCACAATTATGAGACTATATCAGGAATGTGAGGCAATTCAGTTAGTTAAAATGCAAGACTGAATCTAAAATTTAGCAGAAATAACAACAGAGGGAAATGGAAATGCTTTTATAAATGACCAAGAGGCCAGTCTCTGAGGGTGGAGGCTACTCTTTGTAGAAGCAAAGCTTTAGAATGTGATCCTTTATTTCCGGCTTTCCTTTCTACTTGTTCTACAAAAGAAGAAAAAATGTCAGATGACCAAAGAAGAGAAAGGTTCCTGTACCTTTTAAAGCTATGAGGAAGAGGGAAAAGCCAAAGCTTTTCATATCCTAGTAGATTAACTCCTGCCTGTGCAGAAAATACTAATGGCCTAAGCAGTAGGCAGCCATTGGACTCCCTCAAAATATTCTGCTATAGCCATGATGCTATTTAGCTGGTCTCTTCTGCACTATGTAGCTTGGGTTTTCAAGAGATTTGCCTCTCTTAGGTAAAGGTAAAGGTTCTCCTTTACAATTTTTGTCCAGTCGTGTCCGACTCTAGGGGGCGGCGCTCATCCCCGTTTCCAAGCCATAGAGCCAGCGTTTTGTCCGAAGACAATCTTTCCATGGTCACATGGCCAGTGTGATTTAGACACGGAACGCTGTTACCTTCCCACCGAGGTGGTCCCTATTTATCTACTTGCATTTGCATGCTTTCGAACCGCTAGGTTGGCGGGAGCTGGGACAAGCGACGGGAGCTCACTCCATTGCGTGTATTCGATCTTATGACTGCTGGTCTTCTGACCCTGCAGCACAGGCTTCTGCGGTTTAGCCCACAGCACGACTACGTCCCTACCTTGTCTGTTGAGATACTCTTAAATACTGGGATGTGAACTGAAAAACATTTTTTTTTAAATCTCACAACTAATATTAAGGGAAGTCCTATTTCTAAACATCCCGCACAATTATGAGACTATATCAGGAATGTGAGGCAATTCAGTTAGTTAAAATGCAAGACTGAATCTAAAATTTAGCAGAAATAACAACAGAGGGAAATGGAAATGCTTTTATAAATGACCAAGAGGCCAGTCTCTGAGGGTGGAGGCTACTCTTTGTAGAAGCAAAGCTTTAGAATGTGATCCTTTATTTCCGGCTTTCCTTTCTACTTGTTCTACAAAAGAAGAAAAAATGTCAGATGACCAAAGGAGAGAAAGGTTCCTGTACCTTTTAAAGCTATGAGGAAGAGGGAAAAGCCAAAGCTTTTCATATCCTAGTAGATTAACTCCTGCCTGTGCAGAAAATACTAATGGCCTAAGCAGTAGGCAGCCATTGGACTCCCTCAAAATATTCTGCTATAGCCATGATGCTATTTAGCTGGTCTCTTCTGCACTATGTAGCTTGGGTTTTCAAGAGATTTGCCTCTCTTAGGTAAAGGTAAAGGTTCTCCTTTACAATTTTTGTCCAGTCGTGTCCGACTCTAGACAGCGGTGCTCATCTCTGTTTCCAATCCATAGAGCTAGCGTTTGTCTACAGACAATCCTCCGTGGTCATGTGGCCAGCATGACTAGACACGGAATGCCGTTTACCTTTCAAGCGAGGTGGTACCTATTTATCTACTCACATTTTTGCATGCTTTCAAACCACTAGGTTGGCGGGAGTTGGGACAAGCGACGGGAGGTCACTCCCTTATGTGGATTCGATCTTACGACTGCAGGTCTTCTGACCTTGCAGCACAGAGGCTTTGGCGATTTAACTCGCAGTGCCACCACGTCCTTTTTGTCTCTCTTAGCCCCCTACAATCTAAATAACAACCCAAGAAGGAACCCTCCCTTGGCAACCCAAGGGCCTTTTGTATATTGCTGTACTCCATTTCTCATCAGCCCCGTGCAGCCTGACAAAGGGTGAAAAATGATGAGAGCAATAGTTTATTAACATATAGAGGGGGAGTGGAGGATCTCTGGTGAGTTTGGAGTAGATGATTTTCTGGCCTCTGGACCCTCTCATGGGACCTTACAGGACACTTAAAATGCCCCAAGTGGCAACAAATAAAAGTCCACTACCAGTTCTGGGGAAAAATATATATATTAATTTTTGTTTTTAAATAGAGAATGTATGCTGTATGTTTGGGGGTGTCTAGCCGGTTTAAAAGTTGGAGTCTTCCTGAAGTAGTATTTTGCCTTTTTCTGCTGGACAAAGAGGGACTGGAGGAAGGCTGGACATCCTAACAATGGACTTGGCAGCCACCTGCCCCCGCCCTGGCTACACTTTGCCCACCCCTGACCTAGAAGGTCCACAGGATTGCCAGCCTTGACATAGCTTAATGCAGTGGTGCTCAACCTTTGCTCCTTCCCAATGTTTTAGACTTCAATTCCCAGAAGCGCTGGTCATGGGCCATGCTTGGTGGGGCTACTGGGAGTTGAAGTAAAAAAATATGTGGAGGGACAAAATCTGAGAATCTCTATTTTGGGGTTTTTTTCTCTGGATGTTTGTGAACATACTCTAACTCAGAGAGAGGATCCTCTCTAGAATAAGACACAGAGCCAGCCGCCATGGTGCATTCACCTTCCCAGACATGTTTTCCTAGGGCATTTGCTTTCAGCAGCTTTGCACAGTTCATTGGACTTGGTTGGACATTGTTTTTGTTTGCCTAGTTCAGACTT